CTTCCTCTACTTCTTTTTGCTCCCGTAGCCCCTATTTTTAAGGTTAGATACATTGAGCTGCATTTTCTAACTCTCATTCTCTTCTTGGAGGTCTCCTCCATCTGTTTGTTAATCCACTCTTCTAATCGATCTTTCTTAGTTTCATAACCGTTCCAAAAAATGTCTTCTCCTTCTTCTTCGTTGCTTTCATATGTATCTTTCATGTTTCTAGAATTATCTTCTTGCTTACTTGGATTTATGTTTTCTCTCATACTGTTTACTTAGGCTAACCCCATCTTCATGGACTCCTCAAACTCTGGGCTTCCTCTTTGTGTAATGGGCTCCCTATCCAATTGCTCGTCTGACTTGTCCTTATTGCCCATTTCCTCCCCAACTTCCTCAGCATGCTCAGTTATTGGTTCTAGCACCCCTTGCATCGACGCCACCCCTCATACCCTTATTGATCTTTCAACATTATTTGAATTTTGAATTTGTTCCAAGTTGTCCTCTACTGCTTCTACTAATTCCTGTTCTTCCTGTTTGACTTGTAACTGAAGCGCTCTCTTATCCCCTTTCATGCCTCTCAACACGTCATCATCTTCTTTGAATGAACCACCAAAATTAACCAGCTTCTCCTTCCTTACATTTTTGAGCTCTTACTCCTCCGTGTTGCTCTCATTGGTCCACATCATGTTCCTTTGAATCACTTTTAAATGAAGGCATGAAATTTTGTTTCAAAGAGAAGAAACTGTTAGTGAATTCCTCCTCTATAAATTTAACATTGTATATGCTCCCATTAATTTTGATTTTGTTGCGTGACTATAATTATATCCATAATTGGAGTAGAGATTAAAAATCTAGCAATGTCAAACCTTTTCCTTTTACTTGTACTATTATCCTAGCAGATAAATTTTCCCCATGAACAACCCATGGTTGAAAAAAAAATCAATTCCCTAGACATTCAATGGTACCCCTTGACACCTAATCCATACAACCCTCTCATTAGCAACCATTTTAGGTGTCCATGGACACATTTCTTCAAACCATTAGCGTAGCCAATCTGATACCATTTCAACCAAGTCTTTCAATTCTTCTTTATCCTCACAATCTAATAGGACCAATTTGCCTCCCATCGCCCAAATTTGACATGAGAAGTATCCTTCTATGTAAAATTTCTCCTATAAATTACGAACCATTTCTATGGAATGAATTGTTCCAACATAACAACCATCAAGCCATGCATACTCCTCGTGTTTGATGTTCTACTTCATTCCAACCCATTTCTCTCTTTTTCCTTTCTCCTGCCTTTTTTTCCTAGTTTCCATTCTTTGGTAGCCATATCTGTTTTTGCCTTTGCTTATCTCTTCTTTGCCTTGCTTTGTGTACTCCTTGTCTACAATGTTTGTTCTATTATATCTATTCTAGTTTGCCTTATTCTGTGAGTTCCTTTCCTCAACCCGATTATTCTCTTATAGTCCTTTCAACACCTCCGCATAGCTTTTCTTTTGAACCTTTGTCACCATTTCATTTTTTCTTCTCTCCTTAACGTCTTCTTTCCCATCGTCAAACCTTGGACTATTCACCCATATTTTTCAGGCCATTATCCAGATTTGATCCAAATGTCTTTCAAGTTCTTTCTTATCTTTGACATCTAACAATCTCACTAACCCAAACCTGCTACCATTCTTGCTCTTCCTATTTGGACTGTATATGTCGTAAACCCTTCTAAATTTGAAAAAAGTTGTCCACGTGTCTTCATAACTCTAGTCATCCGGGCAGTTGGTAAAGAAATAAGGTGTGGCTTGCTTGTATAGACCCCAGTTGTACACTCCATCCTTCTGTATCTTCCGACCCTGGTGTTGAACCTCCTGCACTTTCCCCTATTTCATTGGCTCAAACCCCCTTTGTTGGCTTCTTCCACAAGATCCTGCATGCTCCTGGTTCAGTGTCGTCTGTCTTGCCCATGAGCTATGTCTACCTCGTTCCCCTCTCACTCTCTCTCTCTCTCTCTCATCTCGCTCTTTTTCTTGGTAAGTAAGTATTTTTCTATAGATTAAGTTTAAAGTTCAAATTATTAAATTAACCTTTAAAAAATTAATTTTTTAAATATATTAAACTGATGTAAGAGTGTATCTTTAAGATTACTGGAAAAAATTAATTTTGATATATATGAAAGCTAACTTGAAGGCAACAAATTACCCGAAAAAATGTTATATGGGCTTGAGATGTACAAAAATTAACTTAAAAATAACTAATAGTAATTTTCTTTTTTTAAAAAAAAACCCCATCTATTCCTTATTGTTACCATTTCCACTTATTAACATTTTTTTTAAAAATCATCGTTAACTTTGCACTTAATATTTTGTTACCGTTAACTAGTTTCTATCAGAGCGATACTGTCGTTTCATCTTTTTCCATCCTTGATCCTCATCTTTTTGTTTTCTTATAGGAAAAAGGTACTTTTTCCATAGAATTTTTTTTTACTAAACACCCAATATTTAAAAATTATATTTGATTCAAATTAATTTAAAGTTAGATAGTTAAAATTTATAGGGAGGGAAGTTTACTTAATATTTATTTATCTATTTATAAAATTTAAATTCAAAATTTTAGTTAAAAAAAATCAAATCCCTTTTATTCAAATCAACAAATAATTGATTCTATAAATTCTTATGAACATTAAAAAATCCAAGGTAAACCTTGCTCATCACTCATGTAAATAATTTGGCGGATCTCAACCGACACTTATTTAATTAGAAAATCATATACGAACATCTAGAGGATTTACATAATCTTATCCATCAAATTCTCCTGTTTTAAATTACAGATTCCTTGCATAAGAAGACACGCATAATCAATGAATTTTAAGTGGGCACATGCAAACTGCCCAGGCAACATAAACTCAACTCCCACCCAATTCAACTTTAAAGCGTGCCGGTTGACCTCTATCTTCCAGAATTCCAGGGACAAGTTAAATTTGCGTTAATTAGCTTTTCACCAATAATAGGATCTAAATTTAAGTTCTATTACCTCCTCCTCCAGTTTCTCCACCTCCTTGCCGAAAGCAATTGATAAGACTTCCAGCCAATTTTTACAATACTCGTTTAATTAATTAGGTCAGAAGCCTTAATAACATGAAGCATGAGAGTTTTATTTTATTTGGATTTTTCTAACCTTGCACTTAAGGCATAGGTTAAGGATATTTTTTAATAATAAATTTATATAAAAAATATAAAAATAAACATTAATTTTATTCTTAATGTCATGTGAATAAATTTAATAGTTGATAAATTAAATATTATTTTTTATTTTTATAAAACTCTTAACCTATACCATAGAGGATATATTAAAAAAATCCATTTTATTTTTCTTTTAAAAAGAGAATAGAGATGAAACTTTATTTTTATTGGAGCATTTCTCAAAAGAGAGCTAAGGTCTGATTTTTAATATTTTTAATTTTTTGCCCCAAAAGGGAAAAAAATTTGTAAAAGTCAACACTATTTAACATGATGTCAAGTGGTGCAAACTTTTATGTCCAACCGTTGGATTGCTATATCCAACGGCTGGCGTTTCTTTTTTTTTTTTTATAAATTTTCTCATTTCAAATTTTTTAGTTTGAATATTAAAATGTGAATTAAATAAAACAATATTGCTATAATTTTTGAAAAAGTTTTGATTAGATGTATATATACATTAGAGGGGAAGGCGTTTGATTAGATGTTTTATTTAAGAGTTAAATATATAAAAGCATAAATTTATATAAAATAATATTAGTGTTTTCATTATTTCTTAGTGTACATACTCTAATTACCCATTTACGAACATTAATGTTTTAATTACCGGTTTAGTAGCATTGATGTTTAGTATTTTTGTCTTTAATTGTCGAAATTGAATAATCAAATTTAACATTTAAAAGGCAAAATCACAAATTAAAACCAACAATTTATTTAGTACAAATTAATTTTTAGAATTAATAAACGAAATTTAATTCTTTTTTCAATTTATTAAATATTTTATCTTAATTTAATATTTAAAATTTTTAACAATTAAAATATAAAAAACAACAACAATAGTGACTAAAAGTGCATTTGGAATTGTTCGGTTGGGGTTTTTTCTTATAACCACAAAATACATTTAGATGCATATATGTTTGAAAAATTTTTTAGATTATTTTTTTTCAAAAATTATAAAAAATATAATAATTTTATAATAATTTTATATATAAAATTAAAAACCCTATTTAAAAATTTTTTAACTATAACTTTTATAAATAAAAGTTAATATATAATACAATTATAAAATTACCTATTAAAATTTTAATAAAACAATTACAAAATTACAAACTCCCTTCCTCACCCGTAGAAAACCCAGATGGAATACACACCTAACCTAAAACCTAAACATGATAGTAACCACCCTAGCTATATTTCCTTTCTAGAGTACTCTTTTACTTTGATTTCTTTCATATTGAGAACAATTACTTTTTTTTTCATTATGAGGAGCACCAATGTCAAATCTTCTTTTAGGTGAACATCAAAAATAATTTTTTTATTAATTTATTTAAATTGAATTTTTTTTTTGTCATTGTAATGTTTAATTATAATATTTTTTCCTAAATTTTCATCTAGCGATTTGTCAAATTAGAATTGGCATCTTTCTTTTATTAATTATAATTATAATTTTTGTTAATTGATAATATTGAAACATAATTTTGCTTTATAATATTTGTTTTAGTAATTATATATTATACAATGTTTTTTAAATTTAAGTAGTAAATATTATTTATTTTAATAATTATACATTATATAATATTTTTTAAATTTTAATTAATAAAATTTATCATATGTAATTCATAATATTTTAAAAAATAAATACTCAAATACCAAAATAATTTTTAATTATAAAATAATACAATTTAATACAATTATAATTACAATTACAACCATGATACCTTATAACAATTTCAAAGACATCCTAAATCACACCTATAAATAGGAGTCCTATGGAATGGGATGTCAATGCACTATACACATACATTAAAATACATGGATTACGAAATTGCGGGTTTACTTATTTCCCTTTTGCTTTGTGTTGCATGGGCAATGGTGACGAAGCGGAAGCACCGCCGATTGGAAGAATTGGGCCGGCTTCCGCCAGGGCCACGATGGTGGCCGGTGGTCGGCAATATCTTCCAACTAGGTTGGGCACCGCACGTGTCCTTTGCAAAACTTGCTCGTAAGCACGGTCCCATCATGACCCTCTGGCTCGGCTCCATGAGCACGGTCGTCATCTCATCCGCCGAAGTGGCCCGCGAGATGTTCAAGAACCACGACGTGGTACTTGCTGGCCGGAAAGTTTACGAGACTATGAAAGGGGACTTCGGTAACGAAGGGTCCATCATTACGTCTCAGTACGGACCCCACTGGCGGATGTTGCGGCGGCTGTGCATTACGGAGTTTTTCGTGCCCAGCCGTCTCGACGCCATGCGAAGTGTTCGAGGAAGATGCATAGACCGCATGGTGCAGTATATAGAAGACGCTAGTGCAGGCGGTACTACCGCCGTTGACGTGCGGAGGTTCTTCTTCTTGATGTCTTTTAATCTGATTGGAAATCTTATGTTTTCGAAAGATTTATTAGAACCCAAATCGGAGGGAGGGGCGAAATTCTTTTACCATGTAGGGAAAGTGATGGAGCTTGCCGGAAAGCCAAATATTGCTGATTTTGTTCCAATCCTTAGGTGGCTTGACCCTCAAGGTTTAAGGAGGAAAACCCAATTCCATGTCGACAAAGCGTACGAAATTGCAGGAAGTTTCATCAAAGAAAGAATGGAGAGCTTGGAACATGGTGGAATACATAATGAAGCAGAGAGGAAAGACTACTTGGACGTGCTTTTGGAGTTCCACGGAACCGGTGCGGAGGAACCGTCAAGATTTTCCTCCAGAACCATCAACGCCATCGTCTTTGTAAGCCATTTCCCTGAACTAAATAGGGTTACTTGCCAAATTTTAAAGATTATGGACCTAATTGCTGGGTTGTAAAGGTTAGGGACGACTGTGCAAGTGGCCCTAATTATTGAGTACTAACTTATGACATGAAGCATGATTGATTTTTTTTTTTTTTTAACTAAAACATAATACATAAATTAATCGTATATTCACATTACTCGTTTAATTAATACTTCATCTGTTTATTTTTAACTAAATTTGATTTTATAATTTTTTAAATATAAATTTTAAATAAAAATATTTAAAAAAATTTTAAAAATTAAATTAAGACTACTAAAAATAAATGAAGGAAATGTCATGTGGTTATTGTTGTTAGGGACATAATTGAAGCAAAAAAAGCTCATGAACTAAAAGCTTATTAATTGCATTGATTAACCAGGAGATGTTCGCGGCGGGTACTGACACGACAGCAAGTACTCTAGAGTGGGCTATGGCGGAGCTTCTGCACAACCCAAGAGTTCTAAAGAAAGTTCAAGCCGAGTTGAGGAGTAGAGTATCTGCCGGAAAGAAGCTGGAAGAGAACGACGTAGAAAACCTTCCATATCTCAAAGCAGTGATAAAGGAAACTCTAAGGCTTCATCCGCCGCTGCCGTTCTTGGTTCCACACATGGCCATGGATTCTTGTAGGATGCTAGGCTACCATATCCCGAAAGAAACACAAGTTCTGGTGAACGTTTGGGCGATCGGACGTGACCCCAAGACCTGGGAGAAGCCGACGGAGTTCATGCCGGAGAGGTTCTTGGAGCCGAACGCGGTGGAGTACAAGGGGCAGCATTACGAGTTTATACCGTTCGGCTCGGGGCGGAGGATGTGCCCCGCCATGCCTCTTGCCTCCCGGGTGCTGCCGTTGGCGCTGGGCTCGGTTTTGTACGCGTCTGATTGGGCCTTGGATGATGGGCTTAGGCCCGAAGATATGGACATGACAGAGGGGGTGGGTATTGCGCTCCGAAAATCTGTTCCCTTGAAGGCCATACCAATGCCTTTCAGAGGGTCTCTCTAGGCCCACTGAAATTATGAATAAAAACTTCTTAAGGTTATGTTTAAGAATATGTATTTGTATTTAAAAAATGTACTTTAAATATACATTTAAAATATAAAATATATTTTGGATTGAAATAAGAAAAATGAATTTCAAATACATGTATTTTTAAATTCATTATTTGGATATTTTAAAATACTATGCATTTAAAATTAAATCTTTCCTATTAAATTAAATATTCTTTTTATCATTATTTAAATTTAATAAAATTAAAGTTAACAATTTTAGTCTTTCAAGG